TTTCTATGAGTTACAGAAAGTTCCCAAGCTATCTTGTTTAAATTGACGGACTTGATGATCCCTAGCTGTTACCTCATTCACCCCGTAATCCCACATACCCAAGCTCAGCGCTGTCTGAACGGTATTCAAAAATCACTCGCCCTCAGGCAGAATTTCTACAACTTCGGGCCCATTCAAATCCCCGCCAGTCCTCCATTTCCCCATCGGCAACTTCAGTTTCACTCAGCAGCAGCCAAAGTTTAGTTTTGGCCAGGCCAACAAAAGCGCGTCTGTGAAAAAAGCCAAGCAGCAACAACGAGAAAAAGAGAAAAGAAAAGAAGAACTTGAAGAGCCAGAGAGCGGGGAGCCATGAAAAAAAATAAAGACGAAAAAACGTTGAGCAGTTTGAAGTGTACGTGAAATTTGCATAAATGCGAAATCAACGCGTTCACTACTTGACGCTGCCCTCCGTTTCGATTCCCCGGAGGAACTGCAGAGCACTTTGCCACACATATGGCCCCATGTACAGACATACATATGGATATGGATGTGCGGCATGGCATTTGCATGGCTTGTTATTCCCCGACTGCGTTACTCCACTCCTAATTTCAACCAACTTCTGCCAGTTAGTGGGTGAATATGTCGCTCCGGCTTCACTTTTGTTTGGCCCAAAGAGCCACCACATCAGCGGCAGCAGCAGCAGCAGCAGCAGCATCAGAAGCAACAACACCAACGTATCTTTGAAGTAGTTTTCTTGGGCCTCGACCACTTGACAGCCGGCAGTCAAATGGGTATGGCTGGAAAATGGGAAATGGAAAAGCTGTTGCTGTCTCACACGAGTTGCTTTTAATGAGCTGTTCCCTTATGCAGTTTATTAATGTGTTGAAATAGCCAGCAAACCAAATGCACACTGTTTGTCTAATTCCCGATTTGTTTAGAGTCTGCAGCACGTAATTAGTTGGCTCATTACAGATTGAAGCTGTTCCGTTTGATAAACAGATATTTCAGAATAAACACCCGTCCAGACTTTGTGTTTCGAAAGCGATTCTAATTTCAATTGGGAGTACACGAGGGAAAAACTAAAACCAAATAAAAAAGATTAAAAATAATTTTTAAAATCCAATTGTAAAGACAAAATTTTAGTAAATTACTAGGTCTTGTTGCATATTAAATTTTTTTTTTGTAAGTCTGGGAAATGTTCAGGCTTTAAGTATTTTTTCAAATTTATTGTTTTTGAATTAAAAAAAATGTATCAATATAATAATTAGGATTTGGATTTATTTATCTTGTCTTATTTACAACCTTAATTCTCGAAATCGGTTTTCGATTTCCGCTCAGTGTATTCTAAAGCAGCGTGCGAAATGGCCAAATCGAATTGTCGACCCCAAAAGCCGCTGCCTCCCCCTTTCCCGCTCCATTTCCCCAGACTATGTATACCCACCATGACATCATCAGTGGCAGGCAGCAGCAGCACCAACATCATCGTCATCATCATCACCAACATCATCACCATCGACTTTGACTGCTGATGATTCCAGTTTGGTTTCGGTTACCACTTTTTTTTTTGCCTTTTGTCTGTTTTTCACTCTCTCTCTGTGTTATTATTCTGGCTTTTATGGCGGGGGCCAACTGCTAATGATGCCAAAATCAATTTGATTTCTGCTCACTTGCTCCGCTGGTAATGGCAACTCATGAGCTGCTGCGATTTCCATTATGGAGCTCTTTCTGTGACAGGAAATCGGCTTACAAACCGCCCTTTTCGCCGCACGCAAGAACTTTTATAAATTTTCGGATATTTTACAGTTTTTGCATACTAAAAACACCACGCCCTCATCGGTCGTTCCGAAAAATGTTGGCAATAAATCTTTGGAATTACCGCTGGCAAATTGATTTGTTGCTCTCGCCCCGAATCAAATGCAAAACTGCATTTCGGGGGGGCAGCCATCAGCGGCACATAAATAAATTGTAATTCGCCAATTGTGTGTGTAAAAGTTATTAGCTATAACTTGTTTTTTGACACTGGTCGCTGCAACGGTTCATTTTTTCCTTTTTCTTTGTATTGGCAACCTCAAAATCGATGTTTCACTGTACCCGGAAACGGACTACGACGCTACGTGTCCCACCGGCTTTTCCTCCTTTCGAACCCCCCCTCCAACTCGCATTTGGTTATTAGTCATAAAGCTGCAATGGGATTGCCAACTGGACAACTTTGTTAATGATACATGGTTGACCAAGTTTGGATTTGTTGCCACTGCTGGCTTGCTTGTTGTTGTTGTTGCTTGTGCGGCGGCGTCAAGTTGATAAGTTGCTAGAGCAACTTGGCTGTTTGAGGATCAAATAATTTGTTTACAAATTGCTTGCATATGGAAAGTTTGCTCCGCAGTTTGCCCAAGGCCGACTTAAAGTCGGAAAAGTGGGTCAGGCACACTGACGGAATGAATGCGGAAGGGTTTTGCATAAGCAGGAGTAGCCTAATCCTGGGACAAACAAATTTCACCATTTATCAGGCACTCCTCTTGTCGTCACTGCCACAGAAAAGGGTTTGGCAATACTAAGAAGGAAGTTTGGCAAACGGATAAGAAAGTCTAAATTGAAATGAGTTTTAAATGAATTCCTTTTTTTTAATAAGCCTTTAAATTGAAAAGGGTAAATTTGTAATCTGTGAACGAGACTAAGATTAACTGTAAGTTAATATTTTTCTGATAATTAGTCTTAGGGAGCAAAGTACGAAGTCGGCTTAGAGAATATAGATATAAAGATTTAAGATTTTAAGATTATTTTTTATTATTTTTTTTTAAAGTTCTTTATTTACCCTAATGGATTTCTTAATAAATTAACAAATTTAGAAAAGCTACTTTAGATTACGGGAGAGCAACTTAAAAATATGTATTATTTTATTTTTGGATTACTTTTTCTCAATGACCGAAACTCCTAATTAACTCGACATTTGAATCTCGCAGTGTGCTAAATCGTCGATGACATTTTGTTAGCCACAGAGCGTCCTCTTGGCAAGAGCATTTGAGCTAGTAATTAGCCAGGACTCCAAATGGCTCCTAAAAACCCAAAACTGCCATATTCCCCCCTTTCCTATCATTTCGTTTTCCTCGGAACTGGAGAGACGCGTTGGTGTGTTTGCACTTTCATGTTGTTGCGCTTTTAGCCTCTTTCAGTCTGGCACTTTGAATCCGTGGAAGAGTTGGCCGCCTCCACCGCCGCACCGATCCACACTCCGCATTTATTTAATATTTTAATTAAATTATTCCCGTGCATGTGCAGTTGGTTTGCCGGGGCGTCTAATGGGCCAACTTCATGGCATACAAAGTATTTACATGCAAATGCCGTCAACGTGTTACGGCCTGTGCTCTTGGGCTCCCCTGGTTCTTGGCAGGAATTCGAGCCGGAAACCTGGAACCTGGACTCGAGATGGAGCCATTACCACCCGCACTTAACGTTAATTAAACTGCTGTGTGTGCTAAAATGTCTCTTTTCCATATGTGTGCGGATATCCCTGCTCCGCAGCCCCTGGAATTTCCCAGCCCCATCCCCCAACTCCACTGGCAGCTGCTGTCGTTTTAATAGCTTAATGTAGTTACTTCCACTTTGAGTGTCTTTCGTGGAAAGAGAGGGGCAGATGTGGAGCGAATGTGTCTTTGCTAATAAAAAACACAACACTCAGCAAAATTGTTATGCAGCAAACTAAATCAACAGACACCCACCCACCCGTGTCCCGCCCACTTTTCCACTTTTCCCTGACCCCTTTTTCACCCCCCTCCCCCAATCCCCTGCAACGCACGTACAAATTACAAAGCTATGACGGGAAAAAAGTGCGGCAGGACATGGAGCAGGACGAATAGAAATGGTAGTTGGGCAACGTAGGGACACATAAGAGAAGACGGACGGGAACCCGTGTAAGCCACACTTACAACACGGCTCCATGTGCCGTTTGGGGTGCGCTTACTTACAGCACTCACTGTGGCCAGGGCCAGGAGGCAGGCAGTGGGTCCTTCGCAGTCCTAGTCCTACTATTCCAAGTCCCCTTTCCGGGGTGTGAGCTGCTGTGTGTGCAAAAAAGGCGATATCTAACAAAGTTTAACTCGTTTTATGTCGCACACCCTGCACAGGGACAGCCAATTGGGCTGTTATATAAGTCTTTGGACGAGGGGACCAGAAAACTTAACAAATAGAAAACTTAAATTAGTACAAACTTGGAATAAAGATACCAACATTATTAAGTAGTTCAAGGTTATAAGAATAAAACTATTTCAAGTATTTATGTATTTGTACCTCTATACACACAGTCGCAGAGTGGATGAGTCAAACGGTGATAAGATATTAATGACATTCCAGCTTTAAATTTAAGTGTAAAGATACTAACATATTCAGTATATTTGAAATTATTTTATGAATCAATCGGTGATATATCTTAACTTTAAGGTATAATATCTGAATTAGCTAATTTATTAGAAGGTTAACTTAAATCTTACAACTCAGAGAGCGTGCTAAGAAAACTCAACTAAAATCTCTGGGACTTTGCCAAGCTTTCATCCCAGGTTTTGCAGCTCTTTTATGATTTTCTAGTCACCAGGATATACACCTGGTCGATGCCACACAGCAACCACTTTGCTGGCTGCCTGCTGCATTCAGTCAGCCGAATATGTTGGCTCAGTTTGGCACACAAAACGACGCAGCAGCTTTTCCGCATGCAGCTGCATCTGGCAACCGGTTGTGGAAGGCGGAGAACTGAGGGGGGAATCCTTTTGGGGGTGATAAATCGGAGGGCAGGAGGGCGACGGTTGGAGATGTCTGACTGCTGGCAGGATTAGCCTGGACATGCCTGAATAATGTCTTTATTAGTGGCCAAAAAGGAGCAATCCGCAGTGGTCGTCGTCTTCGGTCCGTGATGTTTTTGCCGGATTCGTTTGAGTCGGGGTTTTGATTTCATTAATCGCCTACGTGATATCAAGTATACGCCATGTTATCGCCATTTTAACTAACGCATGCCCTTCTCTGCTCTCTTACAGTCAGCGCTAAAAGAAGATGGCCCAACCACAGCTGCTGCAAGTCAAATTGTCACGTTTCGATGCCCAGCCCTGGGGATTCCGCCTTCAGGGGGGCACGGACTTTGCCCAGCCCCTGCTAGTGCAAAAGGTAAGTGAGAGCGCCAACACCACCCTCTTTGGTGTATTTCCATTTCCCAACGGGCCAGAGTAAACATGTGTGAAAATCAGAAACAATTCGCTTATCGGGCGATTGACAAATGGAATTTGTGTGTTCGGAAACACTCTCCGAAAAATGAAATGAAATTTACGTTGGCAACGCGAAAAACGAATATTAGTTGGCCAGTTAATTTATTTATGTATTTAAGTGCTCGCTGGCTGCGTTTCTTTTTTGTTTGTTAAAAATAAATCCGTGGATATAAGTTTCACTTTTTGTGGTCGCTTTCCGTGCGATTTTTGCGCACGTTACCCAAAACAAATAAAAGCCGTATTTTTCCCAATTTTCAACAAATTTCCTCTTGCCATATTCCATATTAATGCCGCACAGACACACACCAACACTCAGACAGATAATACCCACACAAACAGACTCACAGATAGAAACCCAACTAAAAATTTGTTAAACATTCATAACAGATCTCGAAACATTTTACATTTGTGGCGACACGCAACTACAAAATTTGCTAAATCATTTTGACAACTTTATGAGCGCTTGCGGCGCGAAAATGTCGAAGGAATAAATTGGGTACGCCTAGTTTTATATTGATGTTCAGTACGATTCGTAACTGTAAGGCTCTATTTAACTAATGGGAATTTAATAGATGCCGTTTTCGTTAAGCTGAATGTTTACGGGAAGAATATATATTAACACTTCCTATCTAATCTTTTTGTTGCTGATAATATCGCCAACAAAATACACCGTTACCTGCGATAAAGTAAAGCATGAGCTAATATTTTAGTTAATCATGTGGAAATTAAGTTCCTGAGACTTTATAAAGAAGCAAATCCATGAATCACATATGCATATAGCAGCCCGATCAAGAGCAGCTGACGGAAGCCATAGCGATTTCGTTTATGACTCAATCTCACTCTGATAAGAGCCCTTGTTTGCAAGCGAGTCTAATCAGTAGCCAAAGTCAGTGGAATTCTTACTGCTCTCGTCATAAAGACATCGCGCTTTATTGTTTTGGGACCAAAACATTGCTTTAATAATGTGAAATTATTGATTGGGAGCTTAGTAATTGCCGCAATCTGCTCCGTTCTTCGGTTTTACCCCAAAATAATCTGTAAATATTTTTGTTCGTTCAGAAATAACACGAATTCTGTGCGCTCTTTTTATCTGTTTGTTTTGGCTTCGAGTGGGCGCTGGCGGTGTGTGGGGGCGTGGCCAGCGCTAAATGCGCAATTTCTATTTAAACAGCTGTGGATTTGTGTCAATGCTATGGGGCCTCTCTCTCTTTTGAGCTGCAACGAGCTATTTAAAACAAAAAATAAATAAAACACACAGCACATCAAGTGCGATTATCATGGAATTGAGCTGTTTCGATAAATTTAAATGGGATAAGCTCCAGCACTTCTACCAATTAGCAGCGTTGTGCTTGTCAATGTTGACCAGAACTACAACAGGACTTGACAATTTATTGAAGGTGAAATTTGTTTTGAATTTAGGCGAATATCATACAGCATGCACAACGCAATTTGCGCTATTTGGAATGAAAATATTTATGGATTACACAAAGAAAAACAAAGCCATACAAATCCCAATCGTTTTGTTAGCCACTCTCAAGTTTTTCCGCCCATAAATCCGACCAGTCAGTCCATCTCGGCGATGAGTTGAGCTGCCTGCCGGCGGTGCGACATCTCCTGGCTGGATGGCTGCCTTTTGCTTTTCGAACACTTCAAGCCCAATTGAATTCGGAATGGCGCACTTAAGCCGCATCCTCCTCCGCAGGATTTTGCGTAAAAACTTTGCTCATAATGAGCCACACCGGGAAAAATGATATTTTCAAATCGACAAGTCCAACAAGTCAAGTACCTAAAAAGTCTGGCCTCAAGATTTAAAATAATATCTAAGTTTGATAAATGAAACTGACGCTAATGAAGCTAGACATATTACGATCGACGTATTTTCAACAGGCTGTAGGAGGTCGGCTATTTCCTTCAGCAGAGTTTTGTATTTAGACTTTTCTTATATAATTCTAACATGTCAAACGTGTTGGGAACACTATCAAAAATAAGCATATATGTAAAGCAATAAATGGTATTACAAACATGTGCTTTATTCCCCAATAAATTTTTCTCCCTGTGCCAGAGCTGAGCTCCTTGGTTGCCAGGACACAAGCTCCGCAGCGGAACTAAACCCCGACGAACTCGAATGAACTCCGGCACTTTTCTGAACTGAGCTCTGGCACTCGAGAGCTCTCCTACCTTGACAACGAATCATCATCTCAGTCATCGTCAGCATCCAATCATGTCAGCTTCCTGGCTCTTGCTCTTGAGCCACTGCCAAACAAATTGGTCTCCTTTAAATGCTGCCGTAACTCATCAAGATGCAACACATGCCATGGCCAGGAATAAATCCCCCTCCGCCGATTCCATCAAACGACGAAAACCGGTGGTTGGCAGTTGGTTGGCATAAAAATAAGCTACTGAGCTGCTTAAATCGGATTAATTTATGATTTCTCGCAGCGAGTTTCTGTGTTCAATTCTCGAACCCCGTCAGAATGAAGTCCTTTTCCTGTTGCTTCCGTTGTTGTCCTGCGTCCCATGTCCTGTGTGTGTTATAAGCTTTATGCCCACGGATTTCACCCACTCGCACAGAAGCCACGTTTATATATTTCATTATCAAGTGCAGAGGGTTCGTTTTGGGCCACAAAAAGCGTCGCACAAAAGGCCAAAGTCAAACAAAAGCGAAAGCCAAGCGAAGCACAAATAATGGACCAAATAAGTAATACAAGAGAGCGCAAATTCGGTTTACTACAAATTTTTGGCTTTCTGGCCAAAGAGCTCGGTCCACACACATAGCACATATCGTAGCAACTAAAGGAATAAAAAAAAGCATCAGTGTCGGCTATTAGCCAACTTAAAGTCTAGACAACCTCGGGAGGGGGCGTGGCACCGGCGGAACACTGGAGAGGACAGTGCATAACAAGCTACTGACGGCATCCAAGGCAACCGACGTGGTCGCCAGTCCCACACACATGATCCTCCAGCCCAGCGTCCTTTTTCCCGCGTTCTGCTCATGCAAATCCGTTTGGCGGTTTCTGTGTTGGATACCCTTGCAAAAGGTATGCTTACAAACTAGTACTTGCACATTTCATCAAGTAAAGTACAGTGTTATTATACATATCAAAGATCTTTTATAAGGTAATCATCTTATGCTATCATATTCAAGAATTCCTAAAAACATTGCAAACTATACAAACATAATTTAAAAGTATTTCTCTTTCACAAAAGAATGAAACTGCTTTAACAAGGGAGTGCATTCAAAACATCGCTTTCGAGTTGACCTTCCTCTTCAGATTTTTTCTGGTTTCGCTTCGTTTTGGCTCAGTTCAGTTTCGGTTGTGTTTTTGCTCGTTTTAAGCTTGTTTGTTTGCCTTCCCCGGTTGGCCATTAATTATTTGACTCCTGTCTGGGGGCAGCCTTTGTGTTGGTGCCCGTGCATGTCTTTGTCTCTGCCTCAAACTAGGGAAATTCCATAATTCGGACCTCGCTCCGCTTCTCATTTTTTTAAGGTATATTAGCGCGTCGTTCAATTTACCACCATATCTTTGGTCTAGGGTATCGACTAGTTGCTGTCACCCTGCGAGTCTGCTGTCTACGTCTGTTTCTGATTTATGCGAGCCAAATTATAGAAGCAAATTTTCTTTGCTTTGATTTCGGGCTTTTGTGTAATTGAATCTGGCAGAGGAGACACCCTCCTGCCGTTCTGCACTCTCGATTGTTGACTCTCGATTGAAGTTTGTAGCTGCTGATTGAACTTGCACTTTTCTCGACCAAGAGTGTCAACACACACACGAGGGGGAAAGAGGAGAAAGAGGCCTGCGGTTGCTCTCAATTCCCTCGGACATTTTATTAATTGCACAATGCCTCAAGAGCAACTGTTGTTGCTTGATTCGACACACAGAGACATGGAAATTGCATTTGTGCACTTGGCAGCAAGCTTACAAACATGTGTAGTTGCTGTCGAAATTTGCGTTGCGGTTTATCGCACTGGAGAACCACAGAAGAGCTCTGATTATTGGCCATAAGTCTCACCTGATCCCCAGGCCTTTTACTTGAGTTGCCTCAGCTAATTCCACACCAATTACCAGCGCAACGTTAATTGAATTAATAAAGAGCCAGTCGGCGGAGCAAACAACATCTCGATGCAATGCTGATTTCCCGTGATTCATCTCTGTCAGTCGCAAAAAGGCGTAATTGATAAAAGTAAAGCCAGCGAAACAAAAAGGATAACCAGACAGTGATTAAGTGCCTGGCTGCGTCAGCGCCGCATTTGATTGATTATCAATTTTACGGGCCCGCTTTAACGGACCCATGACTACTGCACTGGACATCGATGCATGCCACTGCTGCATCGCACTGCCAATTTAAGAGTGTTCAAATTTATTGAACGGCCCGACCCACATGCCCGTAAACCTGGCTGCTTCACCGGTCTCCATATCCATATCCACTTCCGCTCTTGGGAATCGAGTGGCGCTTCCGTTTTGGTTCAAGCCACTCCCAGAGAGTGTGGGTTCGTGAGCTGAAACAAAACAATTGGTTTATATGTTTTGGTTATTTATGTATTTTCATATCAAGAAGTATCTTCGGATAAACCAAGGTTTGCCATGATATTTTCTCGATTTGTGATGATCAGCATTCCTTTTAAGTTGTAGATTATTCTAGTAATACAGTCCTTTTGTATTAAAGAATGAAATATTAAAATTGCAATCCCGTTTTTTTTTTAAATTTCTAACATTGGGAATTTAGCAAATATGTATGAATACTATTTCGTTTCGTTTCGAAATTGTGTGCCTGGAATCCGTGTATCCAAAGGTTCTTTTGTGTCCTTAAATTCTTAATTTGTAATGATCAGCATTACTCTTTCATTTAAGCATGAAATTTATCAATTACCTTTTATCATTGTGCTTTAATCTTCCTTCTTTT